AGATATTTTTTTATTTAATCATTTTTTGTGAAGTCAGCGGCCAGCGGTTAAAAAATTTAATGTTGCAAAATGTTATTCAAACAATAAAAAGGTCATTTAATGACGTTCTTAAGACATTTTTTATTATTTTAAAGAATAAATAAAAAGAATAAAATCACTTTTAGATTTTTTTTATTTAATCATTTTTTTGTGAAGTCAGCGGTCAGCGGTCAAAACATTTAATGTCGCATTAAATGCCTTTTTATTGTTTGAATAACATTTCATTAACATTAAAAGTTTTGGCCTCTGGCCGCTGACTTCACAAAAAAATCTAAAATAAAAAAAATTCTCAAAGTCATTATTTTCTTTTTATATATCCTTTAAATAATAAGAAATGTCTTTAGAACTTCATTAAATGCCGTATCATTGTTTAAATAACATTTCTGCAACATTAAAATTTGAGGCCACTGGCCGCTGGGCTGCCCGGCAGCTAACTTCACACCGCGGGCCGCCCGGCCGCCAACTTCACGCCGCCAGCCGCTGGGCCGCTGTCGCCAACTTTATGCCGCGTGGCCGCTAGGCCGCCAACTCCACACATCTATAAGAGTGTGTCTTAACATTCAGTCAAATCCATCTCTAAAACGTATCATGCATGTCGACTTTGAATATACCATATATTGATATGAAAAATGAGTATGCCATTAAAGTCTAAGAAATTCGTGCATAAAATAGGGTGAATTGTGCACCTCTTGTGAAAAGAATGAAACTTTGCACAGTTGTTGTTTGATACAATCCTTTTGAATGAAGCCTGGGATCCGGATTGTGAGAATCCAATATGGCCCCCAAAATCCAAGATGGCCGCCTTATGTTAAAATTTTCAGAATATTTTAGTGATTAAGCTGTAGTCATAACTAGAACAGTATGAAATAGTACCAATCCTTGTATGTATTTCACATTAAATAATATTCACGCCTCGGATGCCGGCAGTGCAAATCCGAAATTGCCACCAAAAATCCAAGATGGCCGTCATATATAATTTTTTTTGGAATATTTAAGTTTCTCAGCTGTAGTCAAAACAGATCAGTATGAAATAACACCACTTTATTATATCGCATATTTATTTATATTCAGGCAACCATATCAAAATTGTTAGAATGCTATAGTTTTTTCAGCTGTTGTCGCCATTTAACAACAGAATGAAATAAAACCGATTTATGATTATTTTATCACACCTGTATTTGTATTCAAGCCTCTGATCTAGGTTTTACTAATCCAACATGGTCGCAAAAATCCAACATGGCCGCCGCATTAAAATTTTCAGATTATATAAGTTGTAAGATGTAATCATTTTCAGATTAGTATGAAATAACATAAAAAACATTATATTAAATGCCTGTTGAATATATCACCACGAGGATAACCTATTTAAAATATCAACATGGCTGCCAAAGTTAAATATGCCCGCAAAACCTAATCGTATAATTATGAAACGGTTGAAAAGCATCCGTTTTATTTTTCATATTGAAGCATGCCCATAATTAAATTGTCTAAGGTTTATTTATTTACTTGGTTTTAGAACAAAATAAAAGAAACAAAAGAACGCTTAAAACCATAAATTTGTGGTTAAACCATCTTATTATTTTACTACCTGCCCCTGAATAAGACTTTCTTTGCAACAACAGCAAGTAACTTGCAATCAAACTAAGCAGTGCCTTATTCCAATTATTTAATAGGTAGCTATTTCATTCGTTTAATATGTAGCTGACCTCATTTTGGGTCATTCTGCAAAATATAAAGGAATAGTATAGGACCTTTTGCATATTCTTACCAACAGATAATCAATTTTCCCTAAAAAAACTTAATAATTTCAAAGATTCAAAGCTATTAATTTGTATTTTGATTAGAATGAAAAGTATAACGTTACCAAAAACTACTGGAACTAGTTTATGTTCTGAGTCAAAAGGAGCCAGTTCTTAGAAAATTGTTTCTGGGTACTAAGCGAGTAATGTGCAGAAAATGTAAGAAATATTGATATTTCAATATTTTCAGAACAGAACAGAGCATGAATTTTATTTATAAGATTTGAGCAATTCACCCCTCTTCCATAACATGATTGTTCATTATTGTGTCAAAGTCAATGATATAATGATATTATATAATATTGACAATAACAGTAACTGTTGTATATATAACAAAAGAAGGTTGGTAGTAGGGACATACATATCATATGGAACTCGTGCTCAATGTCTCTAGATTGACATATATTAAAAGTGCTTTTCTACCTTTCTATTCTATTCTGACCATATCGTCTAGTTCCAATCATTAAGCAATGTGCAGATATCCTAAACGTGGTAACAATAGATCTATATTTTTTTATACATAAAATACTCAAGTACTGCGCATATTCCAATTGGTGCTTTAAATGTTTATATAAATGTAATACTAAATGTAATGTTTTTCGCATAACGAAACGGTTTCGTTTTGATTTTGACGCACTTGTGTTGTATTTTTTGATATTAAGACAACTGGGGCCGTCTTTGCAATCAGCAGTTTTGCATGGTGTCAAAATCAGGCATATCACAGCTATTGGTAGGACATCATAGAGTGCTCGACTGTTCTCAGCGCTTGATATCTAAAAATTCTGTATATCTAAAAGGGCCATAATTCTGTCAAGTCGGTGATAGAGTTTTTGGTCTATGACAGTGACCTTTTATGTTCACAAATGAGTGAATTAGTTTTCAACCTATTCCATTATGTAATTTTTACAAAACACACTTGCATGCAAAACCTTAGCCAAACTGTAAAGCTGACGCCATTTGTGTATAATATCGTCCCAATTCTTCAAAACATCAGATAAATGATGTACCCGCATGGTTTTATCCATAAGTGCAAGTATTTTTCTGTGTGAATGAAACCTGTATGTGCAGATTTATGCAAGAAATGCCAGTTTATTATTGTGTTATGAAGAGTGTTAATCATATGAATCATCTTTCTTATAGAAATTTGTCCACAAATTGACATTAAGTGGCGGCCATCTTGGATTTTGAAGCCATATTGAATTTTATTTCCCATGCTACTACAGCATTTTCCAAGTTATTACTTTTATTGGCCTACAATGTCAATTTATATCATTTTAATGCATATGTAGCCCCATTTTGTCATGTCCTATGTACATTGTACATTTTGGCGGCCATCTTGGATTTTGGCAGCCATCTTGGATTCTTAAAAAAGTGAATCCCAGGCTGAAATGAATTGAAATACTTTTTCCTGCCACCAGGGTCTTTCAAATAGAATGGTCTGGAGACAGACCAATTTTACGAAAAATGCTGTCTCGGTTGAGTTACGTGAAAGGGTTATCTACCGAACATGATATGGCATTCAAAAATCAAATTATAAGATAATGTTTTGTTAAATCAATAAAAAAATACTAAAAACTAACTCTGACTACATTATATTATCAGTTTTTACTTTAAAAATAACAATTTTATAGATTTGCAATGAAATGAGAATTTTTTTCCTGGTGTCAAGGTTAAAATCTACTGCTCATATTAAAAAATAGCCCCGAGTTTCATGAGCTTTTTTACCTTCATGCATTGTTTAATGACAAAATAAAAATTGATTTTACAGGGAAAAGTTGTTATTTAATCGTATCATGCAGTTGAAATAAAAAGGAGGCCCGATTGAATCTAAAAGCATCCTGCAATAGAAGCTAGACAATTTTGCAAAAGATAGAAGCAGGAAATGCCGTGATTAAGATTTAACATTTGTTCAACCAGAATGCCTTTTAAACTACGCTCAACTACTGAACTAATCAAAATAGCAATCAGGGAGCTTCTTTTGACGATTAGATAGAAAGACAATGCATATTTTACAGCTTTGTTAAACATAACAAAACCGTATATATAAATATATATTTTGTTCCTGAAAATGAAAGACTTTTTAGAGTAAAATACAAAAACTAATCGTTTATTACCTGCAATCCCAAGACTTTACGAATTGATTGACTTACGTTAAATATCAATGGTATTAATAATTCTGACACATTTTGTTCAAGCGTTTTTATTTAATGTTAAATTATTGATGAAAATTAATGAGAACTTTGACAAACACTTGACTTGTAAGTTGAGAAATTTTGAATAAGTGATACAAATATAGTAAAATAGTTAATGGACCTATTTAATGAAACGGAAACCTAAAGCTAGCATTAGTCTGGCATAACCAACATTTGAGTTGTACTGCACTTGAAGTGGTACGGAAGAATGTAAAGAGATTTGCTTCATTACAGTAAAATACTGATGACCATTTGAGCGCAGCCATTAATACTTGCGAAAGAAATTGCCCAAGGTGTGCGAAATCGGCCTGTTTAGCGTCTTCTTTTGGATATTAATTATAGCCATAGTAACGGTAAAATTCGCAATAGACTTTAGTATAGATAGTATTTCTCGCCTTGGCTATTGTAGAACGAATTTTTCCTACTTTTCCTTTAATGAAATTTCAAATTTTCACATGAACAGGAAGCTTTTAAAAGTCGTCAATAAAAGTCACATCGAAACTTACCATTTAAAAGCATCAATGTTAATATTATATAGTGCATCATGCATGCTTAGCAAAAAGCTATTCCAAACTTACTATATATAATGACTACATGTATTAAATCAAATATATTTTTTTCCAAACACCAATTAATTCAAAAGTTAATTCTAAGATTCCTCTTGATTTTGTCACACACACACACACACACACGCACACACGCACGCACGCACGCACGCACGCACGCACACACACACACACACACTCGCACGCACACTCGCACGCACGCACACACATAAGCAAATAAAATGAAAGCTTTCTTTGTATTAAGATCCTTCATACTTGCAACATGACAAGAATTGTACAAAAATCATGAATTCAATCAAGTGCGGATGAACGGGGATAGTTGTGTCTATTAATTTTTTATATATTCAGAAAAGTTGACATGACATTAAACGCAAAATACTTATATCATTCATCCGACAATAACAACATGTGTTACTTCAATTTGCTTATAAAATTCATTAGTTTTATGATAGCGTTTTGAAACATTTGTTTCGTTATTAAGTTTCTACGTTCTTTATTCGTTTTTTTTGTATAAATTCTCCATGTTAAACGATGCTTCTTATCATTACACGTTGGATTAAGATTAGGATAGAGGATAACCTGCATCAGTGAATGTAAGTACTTTGATATTATTCAACAGTAATTTTGTTTTCAGATTTACTGACTGGTATATTGTGCTGTTATCATAATGATATCGAGCAATTGGATATTTTCATTATTTTGAAATATTTGAAATATATTTTGCTCTTATTTACCTTTTAAACGGTTACATGGAACTATTTTGTGTCGAGTATGAACATCGTACTTATTTTGTACATGCAAGAGGAAACGCGACATAGCATTGCGATTATTAAGATTGAAGCTAAAATATAATCATATTTTATTACTGTCATCACCTTAAGACATTTTTATATTCAAATAATGTTAAAATCTCAAAATATTGTTCATATTTTCATTTTATCAATAAGCAAATTTAGGATACAAGTTTATAATAAAGTTAACAGATGGTTTAATCTTCAACTAATGTATCCAAAGCATCAAGCAACATTGATCTGTCATTTTTGACAATTTAAAATATATAAAAAAGATATATATTAAAAGAAATGAAAACACAGTTTCAAGACAATACTTCTATTATTAACTTAAACCTTAGTTTAAAGAAAATTAAATGATTTTGCAAACATTGTCGAATGTACAAAATGAAGTATTGTAAAATTAATGAAATGTCAAAAAAATGCCTAAGATGTATTGAGGAAAATACTTTATTTACAGTAATTTTGTTTATATAATCTTTTTGTTCAGATTTACTGACAGGTGTATTGTGCTGTAATCATAATGATATCGAGCAATTGGATACTTTGTATTTTTTGGAAGATTATTTTTGAACACTGTACTTATTTTGTACATACAAGAGGAAACGCGACATAGCATTGCGATTATTAAAATTTAAGCTAAAATATAATCATATTTTATTAACGTCATTACTTAAAGACATCTTTATATTCAAATAATGTTAAAATTTCAAAATATTGTTCATATTTTCATTATATCAATAAGCAGATTAGGATACAAGTTTATAATAAAGATATATAAAAAAGAGATATATTTAAAGAAATAAAAACACAGTTTCAGAGCAATACTTATATTATAAACCTAAACCTTAGTTTAAGGAATATTAAATGATTTTGCAAAACATTGTCGACTATACAAAATGAAGTACATGTATTGTAAAATTAATTCAACTTTGATATATGAAGTTTCAAAAAAATGCCTAGGATATTTAGTAAAAAAGAAATGCTTCAATAATACAAACATTGTCGGATAGAGTATTAAAATTGCTATAAAATAGTATATTATTAAGTGCAACACAGATTGGTAATAGCTTGTAAAATATTCATTTTTTTATTAAAACATGAACATTGATTTAATAAGAACAAAACTTGTCAAGATTTGATATTGCAGACTAGAGCATTTACTATATAAAGAAACTACATGTAAAAACTAATGTGGTAGATGAAACTGGTTGAAAGCATGCAGTTCTCCCGTCTTATCCTTTAAGCAATGGCGTGATAAAATTCTTATGATAAAAGTAGTGTATATATTTTTTAAATATACATTGTATTTTGCATAAGACTTGGCACCGAGGTTATAGATAAATATTCTTATCTCAAACTTAGATCTCAGGTATTTGATTTGTCAGAACAACTACAGATTGTGCACTAACCAATGAAAAGTTTTGGATTTAAGACAAATCTCATAAATGGTTTATAACCTCGAGGTTTGGACCGTGAATACTTTTAAATGTCTTCTACATTATTGTATATATTTATTGTTGTTTTTTTTTCAATTTATTATAATCGACCTATTGAAGGCGTCTCCCTTTAATCTGTGAACCAACAATTGTTATGTGACAATATTCGATTGTAATTATGGATAATCTTTTCATTTTTTTAGCATTCAAATAACATTTGGTTATTGCTGAGAGTCAAAACATGTTCAAAGGATTTATATTATTTACGGTAAGTTTTCATGTAATTAAGTTTAACCGTAAAAGGCACATTATGCCTCAGAAATAAATACTTTTTCATTCTTTAAAATAGATTAACATGAGTTTTATAATGTTAAAATATGGTTTTAGATCATTTTAGAGGCATATCTCCTTAACAGAGTAGCGCTGAATGTGAAATAAACTAGCAAAAGGTAAACATAGTAGTATTTTGACTTCCATTTAAAGTATTAAAACATTAACCTTTACTTATTTGCCGAAATGTAACAGATGCACAAGACGGTTCAGGTATTTGACCAATGAGTATTTTTTTTGGAATATATAATAGTGCACAAAAAGCTTTTGAGAAATGAAAACAAAAGTATTTCTGGGTCATAATGAGCCTTTAAGGTCAAGTACCGTTACTGCTTACCAACATTATGCAGTATAAACTCTGCTGAGCAAAACCCTTTGAGAGATAAATATTTCGGTTGTTGCTTAGAGGGGTTGCTCTAAGAGGTAACATGTAGTGGAAACCTTTAATTTGAGGAGAAATTGTTGTTTTAGAGGGAATTACTCCTCAGATGGCCGCTCTGCAAAGGTCATACTAAATGTATTTATCATGAAGATTTAATGATTTAAAGTGACATACTTTTAACGTATTTAAAACATTCATTTATGAGAGAACAGTCATTAAGTAATCTTGATATACAGATAACCATAAAAGAATTGACACCGATTTTACAAGATTATTCACAAATGCTAAAAGCTTGACCAGATATTACTCACAAAAATTAAAAAAGAAAATAATGAAATAAAAAAAATAAATTAAATGAAAAAAAATCTCTCAAAAGGACTTTGTACACTTACCCGATGCAGTCTATTGTTATGTTCTTTTTAGACTATTTTACCATTAGCATATGGTATATGGTGGGCCAACGGAACACCGTATTATGGAAATTGTGATTCGCATGCCGAGGTAAATTCAATACTTTGCAGCTAGAATGATAAAGATAGTTTGATAACATTCGATGTAGCTTAAACTTGCTCGAGAGCACACACAGTTAAGTGACAGATCTTAAGTGCTGTAAATAAATTAAATTATTCAACTGTTTTGAGATATATGTCGTTTTGTTACTTTTGTACTTAGATTGTGTTGAAAACATTATAACAAAATGCTAACGGGTCAATGTAATTTAATTTTGAAACAATTTAGATTTATGAATCTTGTTATTTAAACAGTGCCCTAATGATACTGCCTGTTTGAGGCCAGGCTTTGGCAGCGCTGATACTTCGGCACAGAAGAAATGTTACCGATGTGTGTGAACTACGTTTATTTATTACATCAAATGATAATAAGTATTAATAGTTTAGTTTATACAAATTTATTTTAGTTCGATTGTGTTGGAAGCAATAAACTTATTGAAACACTCTCAAATTCGTTCTTGGAACTAACCAGTACTAGGCAATAAATGTAAAGTTTCTTGCTCAAGAAAACAACGGCTTGCCCCTGATGACAGGGTTTGAACCCACGCGGTCAGCAATCCATAGATTACCGGTGCAATCCTTAGATTACAAGTCCGACGCGTTAACCACTCGGCCACGCCGCCACTAAGCAATTAGATAAGTTTAATCATTGAAAAGAACATTGCAGGCAAATATGAGAACAAGAGAACCGCATGAGAGAACACATGGTTCTATTTGATTGTTGTAATAATTCCTGAATTTTTATTACACTTGATTCGTCTACAAAGAATCTTTATAAGTTTAGTCAATATTTTTTGTGTTTAGAGTTACATTTACTTTAAACTACCATTGATACCGTACTCAAATAAATGTTGTATTTGTGCATTTTTATTTTTATTATATTCAAAGGCATTCAAACCCTTAATAATTATAGGCTTTTGCATGGAACAAGAACAGTGTTACTTCAAAAGTAGGAGGTTTGTTGCCTGTAATTGTACAAATTCCGGGTTCACAGGATGTCACTGCCAAAGAAGTAAGTATCAAATATCAGTTTGACGTTGGTTATTATCTTATTATCTAATGCACCTCAGAAGGTTACAAACATTCCATATTAATCGATATAAATCCAAATTAAACAAAAATTTGAAAGCATCAGCTTGTGTTAATATCTTTCTTTCTTCATTATAACTTTCCTTTTAAGCAGTAATTTATCATTATTGTTATTAAAAACAAAACACACTTTTATCGCACATTACTTGCCCTTAACAGACATTGACGACTGTCAGCCAAATCCATGCCAAAATGATGGCACGTGTACAGATGCCATCAATAACTACACATGCACGTGTCCAGAAGGATACTCTGGTCGTGACTGTGAAAGTGTGTTAGTGGAGACATGCGAAGGCGATTGGCAGTTGTTTAAAAGTAGCTGTTATTGGCGCAGTTCAAGTGCTCTTAATTGGACTGCGGCGGAGGTAAGAGTTATATTGGACCTCATCTCCATAACATTACTAATTTCAAAATATAATTGAATTGTATGAGATGACTGGAGAAAATATATTTTTTATTTTTGAAACTTATTTCTTTTTTCATCTTATCTATTTTATTTATTTATTTATCTATCAATTTATACTTGTAATATTTATTATGTCATTTATCCAATTTATTTCATTTATTTATTCATTATTTATTCATTCATTGTTCATTTTTTATTTTTTTTATATATTCATTTATCCTTCACTTATTTTATTTATTAATTTTATTTATTTATTCATTCATTTATTCATTTGTCTAACTTTCTATCTAATTTACCACTTATTGTTTTTTCATTAATGAATTTGTTCCAAAGCAGAATATGTTAATGATCATTGACTTAAATCCTCACAATCCTTTAGCATTCTAATTGATATAATAACCTTTACATCACTAATTAAGCTGTTTAAGCGACTTTATGCAAAGCAACTTGGCTGTTTTGAGTCTGTCATACAGAATTATATATACCTGAAGACGAATTAAATTTGAATGTTCAAAACTGGTATTTATATAAGTACAATAAGCCATAACAACACGTTGTTGATGTTGCTATTCGAGGGGGTTTGGTTTTAAATAGGAGGGGAAAAAACAAGCACAAAACCACAAGATCGGAAATGTTGTAAACTCGGTTTGATTGAGTCTGATCATGGACGGTTCTGGAAAGTACCAGCTACCGTCCACACACCCTAGCACCGGCTTAAGCCTGGAGTAAAACTGACGCTATAAAAGTCGTGAGAAGACTTTAAATTCCAGGAAAACTTGCCGTGTAAAACATCTTGTTTCCCTCTATGCATCAATTGGAGAACAAAACGTAATAAAATTTCCTAAAAGCGGATTCGAACAAATAACAGCGAAAATATTTTTATGAAAAGACACATTGCATCCGAAATGCTATCAGTTTTATTTCATTTTTGTATCCTATTATAGTAGTTTGACATACAGATGGACTAGATTTTGCTTCTTTTGCTTTGTTGACATTTGTATTACATTTAAAGTGACCTAGTATTTTGTATGGAAGTCAAATTACTGACATGATAGCTTATCCTCATGGTCTGAGAGAAATAACATTCTAGTCAATGAGCAGAATGGATTTAGGAGTACTGTAGACCACTTGTCGTCACTTACAAATATCATTGATACAAGGAAGAAATTAAGGCAGTTAACATACTGTCATTTATAGATTTTAAAAAAGACTAAATTGAAAGAAGCTTATTATGGACAAAAAAAATTGAATCTAAAGTTGGTATAAATGGTAAAATAATGCTAGCGATGAAACCTGTTTACAATAATGTGTCATCTAGTGTGAGGATAAATGGTTTATAAACTGACTGGTTTAATGTTCAATTTGGTCTTAGACAGGGGTGTAGCTTGTCACCTCTCCTCTTTAATCTGTTTATCAATGATTTACCTATTACTATAAAGTCAGCAGACAAAGCAATAATTATTGATAATGAGAAACTTTGTGTTTTACTCTTTGCTGATGACATAGTATTGATATCTGAAAATGAAATTGATCTTCAATTTATGCTCAATATTTTAAGTGATTAGTGTAAAAGTAACTCTATGATTATTAATTCAACTAAGAGTAGTATTGTATCTATCTATTTTTATTATTGGATGTACATTTGGATTTTAATGTAACAGCAAAATGCGTTGCTCAAAGTGCCTTTGGGTTGCTAATTGCGAAATCTAAAGCTATTGGAGGAGTTCTATATGATGCTTTCAAGAAACTTTTTGATAGCCTGGTATGGCCTGTAATAGCCTACGGTGCGTCAGTTTGGGGAACCAAGTCGTTCTCTTGTATCAATGCCGTACAAGCTCGAGCGATGCGTTTTTATCTTGGGACTGGAAAGTATACACCCAACAATCATTGAACAATGCTGTGTATAGGGAATTAGCCCGACAACCCCCACATTTTAGGATGTGGAAGTCTGTTTCTCAGCAATGGTATAGACTTACGACAATTGATGCTTTTAGAATACTATAAGATTTTTATGTTTTGTAATAGCAGAAGCAATAACAAATGTAAATATTGGCAATACCAATTTAAGTGTCATTTGTCAAATTTAAACTTAATGCAAGTGACAGATAGATATGATACATTTTTACAAAGGAATTTCTGTGATAGGGTAATGAATGCTTCTATAAAAGTTTTTTTATTGGTTCTTGGCACACACATATTTACAGTGAGGTTGGCCCTTCGAGGCAAGGTAGAAATAAGTTAAGAACTTATGTCTAAAAGTCAGAAATCAGCATTAGCTAAATTCAGATGTGGTGTAGCTTCAATTAGACTGGAGACCGGGAGATATGAAAACATCCAAGAGAACTTTAGATTATGTCCGATATGTAAACTCTCAATTGAAAATGAGATTCGTGTTCTGTTCGAATGCTTTGCCTACCATGATCTTATACGGATGTTAATTTCTAAATCCATGAAAATAGATTATAACTTTGTTAATCTCAATAACCAGGTTGTCTCCAACAAGGATATTGTAAGGGAAACTGCCAAAACCTGTTGTGCTATTTTAAAAGAAATAAATAAATTGTTATATAAATAACTTTTATCTTGCAATATTATTTGTAATCTTAGTAATACATCTTTTACTTTCTTGGTGTTATTGTATGTGAAACTTACAATAACATTTTTTATGGTTCAGTTAACTAACTTTTATGGCAGACCAAAGTACCTTTGTAAATTAATTTTAGTTTACTCTGATTAAAGTTAGACCCATATTTTTTACTATATTGCAGATAACAGGAAATTTTGTCATAGTATTGAGTTGTCAAGATTTTATAAGACTTTTATGTAGATTACCAGATTAGCAAGGGTATTTTAGCTTTTAACTGTTGATATTTAGATTATGTTTAAGTTACAAGTTATATAACCACGAGAAGAGAGGTAACTCTTCAGTACATATTGGAAGTATTTGCAATATGGGCTGAGGAGTTGTCTCCCCTGTCACTATCAGAACAGGCACTTTTATGATTTTTTGTTTTACAATTTGTAATTGAAATATTGTAAATTGTGTATTGTGATTATATGTATTTAACATGTTCCTGTGTGTTTTGAAATTGTTTTAGAAGAATAATTATATACATATATAAAACTTCACTTAAGTGTATGTTACATGCCTAATTACAACATACAGGATCTTTAATAATATTGACAGGATGATTGTGTCGCTTTGGGAGGACATCTTGTCGAGATAACAAGTATTTCAGAAGAAGACACCGTACAATCACTTGGCGCAGGAGCAGGAGCATGTAAATATTTATCATTTTTGCAAATAATATTTTCAATGCGCGTGTCTCTGACTATCATTTGTAAAGCAAGAGTATCGTTGTTTAAAAGGGAAATACAAAGTATGAGGTCTGTTTTATGAGACAATTTATCAATGTTCTGTGTATTGTATATTTTTCATGAATCTCAATTATGCTAGGGCATTTAATATTAAATAAAGTCATATGCTCTTATAATGACTTATATTGTTTTATTTTTTCTGACAGCTTTCATTGGATTAAATGATATAGATACTGAAGGCGTGCATGTCTGGATTTCGTCAGGAAATAACGCGTCAGGAACGTTTACAAACTGGAAAAGCGGACAGCCAGATAACGTCGATGGTGGGGAAGACTGTGTTGAAATGGCCGCTGCAGGACAATGGTTCGATGTACCTTGCTCGCTGTCGAGAATGTACGTCTGTGAACGCCCGCCCATATGTACGTAAATTTACTAATTAATGTCTTGTAATCATTTGTTTTGTCTGTGTAATTGCGTTTGTGTACTTTTGTTATTGTTGCTATTTCCTTTTTGCAAATT